TAGAGAGCCATACCAAGAAAGTCCTCACCAGATGTACCTGCTGGACTGTGGACTTCCCAGCCTCTGAACTGTACCCAGTTTCAAGTATTCTATTATAAGCAACAGAAGCAGACTAATACATATCCCAAGTCCATTATTTCTTAATTATGGTTCTTAAATACCTTCTAAAATAGTGTAGAAGGGATCAGGCCTACAAAATGAAGAGAACAAACTCTGGAAGAGAGACTTATTTCAACATGATACTACCCCGTTCTAAGATTCCAAAGTGCTCTCTGGGGAGACTTTGAGTGACATTTAACAACTCATTTCAACTGGATCTATGATTTCAGACTTCTACCTCCTGTTACCACTCTTCCTCCACCCCAAATGTGGACTCTCCCTTCTCTAAGTTCCTTACAGCACTCTGTATTTGACTCTCATGGCACCCAACCCTCACTGTGTGCAGTAAAATCATCATGTGTATACTCGCCCCTCCTTATAAAGAAATGTTAACTTACTGGGACAAAGACTCGTCCTGTGTCAGCCCAGAGTTACTTAAGTGGGTGGTCAATAAATGGGTGTTAACTCAATTCACCTTTAGAATCTGAGTCCCAATCTATTCCCTCAACGCTGCTTTCAAAAGCAAACTGATGGTTCCTTAAAAAAAACTTAAACATAGAATTACCATATGATCCAGTAATTCCACTTCTGGGTATATACCCAAAAGAATTGAAAGCAGGGACTTGAACAGATATTTGTATACCAATGGTCACAGTAGTGTTATTCACAATAGTCAAAAGGTAGAAAAAAAAGAAATGTCCATCAACAGATGAGCAGATAGAACAGGAGGAATTGATAAAGGGACACAAAAATCATCTATATTGTATACTGATAAAAAAAATTTATATATATATATATATATATATATATATATATATATATAAATTTTTTTTATCAGTATACAATATAGATGATTTTTGTGTCCCTTTATCAATTCCTCCTGTTCTATCTGCTCATCTGTTGATGGACATTTCTTTTTTTTCTACCTTTTGACTATTGTGAATAACACTACTGTGACCATTGGTATACAAATATCTGTTCAAGTCCCTGCTTTCAATTCTTTTGGGTATATACCCAGAAGTGGAATTACTGGATCATATGGTAATTCTATGTTTAAGTTTTTAAAAGAACAAATTGACAAATTCAAATAGCCAAAAGTGAAATGATCCTGCACACTAACAAAAACATCAAAACATCTGTTGTACATTTTAAATTTTATATTATATAATTGCATGCACCACATATTCAAAAATAAATATTTTTTTTAAAAAAGATGAGCAGATAAACAAAACATGGTATATACATATACAACAGAATACTATTCAGCCTTAGAATGGAAGGAAAGTCTGACACATGCTACCACATGGACGAACTTGGAAGACATTATGCTAAGTGAAATAAGCCAGTCACAAAAGGACAAATATTGCATGATTCCGTTTACGTAAGTAAGGTACCTAGAGTAGTCAAATCCATAGACAGAGAGTAGAATGGTGGTTGCCAGGGCTGGGAGGAGGTGGAAAGGGATAGTTATTGTTTAATAGGTAAAGTATTTCAGTTTGGGAAGATGAAAAAGTTCCAAAGATGGATGGGTGGATGGTGGTGGTGGTTGTACAATGGGAATGTACTTAATGCTACTTAACTGTACACTTGAAAATGGTTAAAATTAGACAAATTAAAAAATGGTTAAAATGGTAAATTTTGTGTTATATATTTTACCACAATTAAAAAAAAATGCACTACTACTCCTTTGTTCACTATCCTTAGACTGGAGGCAGCTAAAGTGTAGGGTTAAGAGACTGCCTGGGTTCAGATCCTAGCTTAGCCATTTACCATATGTCTAACCTCTCTGTGCCACTGTTTCCTCATCTTTAAAACATGTTTTTCATACTACCCACCACAGAGTGTTGTCATGAAGATTAAACAGGTTAATGTACAGTGCTTAACACAGTACCTGGAACATAGTAAGGGCTTAATAAATGTAAGCTCTTACTATTATGAGGGTACCTCAAAAAGTTCGTGGAAAAATAAATTGAAAGATAATATGGGCCGGCCCGGTGGCGCACTGCTACAGTGCGCCGCTTGGGAAGCGCAGCGGCGCTCCCGCCGAGGGTTCGGATCCCACATACAGACCGGCCACTCACTGGCTGAGCGAGGTGTGGGAGCAACACTGAGGGTTGCGATCCCGTAGCCGGTCCCGGTCCGGTACGGGCGCAACACTGAGGGTTGCGATCCGTTGCCGGTCACGAAAAAAGACAAAAAGAAAAAAAAAAAAAAAAAGAAAAAAAAGAAAGATAATATGACCTTACCAGCAGGTCACCAAAAAAACCCAAAACAAAACAAAAAAGGAAAGATAATGTGAATCTTTCCATTAACTTTTTGAAATACCTATTATTCAAGGGGGAGAAAGAGGATGTAGTTTGAAAAAGTATATACTATCATTTTTATAAGACCCTATAAAAAAAAAGTAAAGCTTAACAAACTCTTGGCTGGTGGAAATGACCAGAAGAGTGACAAAACTTTGAAAGGCACTGTGCTAGATTACCGAATGCCATGGACATAACCTTTTAACTCAAACTAAAATTCCCAGGTATTAACATCTGCCCTGTGCAGTTCTCCAGTATCTTATCTGTCTGCAATGAAGATGTAAGCAGACCTGTGCTTTGCTGGTCTCTTACCAAATTACTACACACCACTTTCCTTAAAAAGGAAAAAAAAAAAAAAAACAAAAAAAACTTATTCTTCAGATGAACTATTAAAACCTTCTTAATTACAAAATACCAATCTTTCTAAGGCATTTAACTCTGAATAAAACTGTAACGTATAATGTAATGTATAATCAGGAGCGTATTTATGAAAACTTTCCTAATACAGCATTACCAAGTTCTTACTTGAATCCTTAAAGCTTATGTGAGACTTCTGACCCTCCTGCACCAACTAGACCACATATTTGTTAAGAACACGAATTAGGTCGTCTGTTTCCCAGTACACAGCACTGAAAATGGTGGGAAACCACTATGTGTTAAGCAAACCTTCCTCAATGGTAAATCATTCTCCATTTTTTGCCAGTTTATATCATCAGGAAAAATACTCAGGTTTTTTGTCTCCACACCAATTCTATTACAGCCATCAATCATTAATCAAACTAAAATGCTACTATTGCTGTTCCAACTTCTTTAACTGAGGTGGGATTTACATACCCTCTTTACATGAGTGTAGCACAGGGCACCAAACTCTCAGCCCCTACTGAGAAAAGCACAAATCAAGAATTTAACTTCAGGTAATTAACCAGAGGCTCATTCAGACGTCAGTGCATAAGTAAACATTGATTCCATATTTATTTTCTCATGAAAAACGTCAAAAACTTTTAAGTAGTTTCTCTTACTAAGATCAGATAATGTATCAAGTCAGAGCAAAAACCTCATCTACTGCGGATATGCATACATTAATACAGAATGGAGAGCAATGCTATAGAAGTCACACAGAGAGGCTACACTAGACCATGACTTCACCCTACTCTAACAAAAACGGGCAAGAACATTATGCTTTATAGAATTATAAATAGGAAGTGGTCTAGATGGTCTAACAGAATTACATAAAACCAGAAAAAGAAGACTTTTCATCTATAGTCACTTAAATTACAACTTATTTCTTCGCAAAACGTATATAGCAAAACCATCTACACAATGAAAGCATTCAAAAACCCAAGTGTCTAAGAAATCGGAGTACTTTAGTCAAAGTATGAGTATTTTAAAGTCGCTATCTTTTATAAACAGATCAGTTTTGAGATTAAAATGTAAATCCAACCTTCCTGTTATCAATCTCAGCTTTGTGAACAGCAGTACCTTCCACCCCCTTTCGGTTGCTAACTGGTTTTAAAGTCCTAAAGTACCGAAACAGTCGCCAAATCTAGCTAACTACCCACCACCTCATTGGTTCAAAGGAAGCCCCGCCCCGTACAGCCACGGTAACTGAACATCAAGGGAACTCCAAGAAAGGTTGTCCCCGGCCACATTTCTGGTCTCTGACGACTCTCCGCCCCTCCCCCACAGCCGCGGAAGCATGGTCACAGCACAGACTGCAGACACTCCTGAGAGAGAACCTTGAGCACCTCACCCCAATAATCACAACCGAGAGGAGAGTGGCGGTGACCATGTTTCCACCCTCCTAGCTGCACGGTGCCATCCACGCTGCGTGGAGCAAAGCAGGGACAACAGCTCGCTTTGGCACCGGGCCCTCGTGCCCTAGGCAGAGGGCATGGCGGAGCCACAAGAGTAAGTCCTGACACCTCCACACCTCCCAGTCAGCGGGGGCCCCTCCCACCCCACGGAAACATAGGGCAGGGCAGAACTAGGCACCGCGACTCCCATCCAGACCGGACAGCGGGCTTCCCCGAGCACCGCCTCACTGCCAAGGAGGCGGAAACCTGGAGCGGGGAGGGTGGAAAGGGGAGTGGCATCGCCGCTCTGTACGGCCCCTCCGGCCAACCGGATCTCAAGCAGGCGGAGGAACGCAGGCTTCACGCCCCCTCTCTGCCGCGCCCTGAAGCCACACGCGGGAGACCCCCTACCGGTCCCGCCACCCCAGCAGGCCGGAACGCGGCCGCCCGCCCGAGGCCCCGCCCACCCCGGGAGAACGGGAGGGGTGGTCTGCCGCAAGTAGCACTTAGCTCGAGGCCGGCCCCGCCCCTTTCACCACAGTCGCACGCGCGCGCCGGCCCCGCCTCTGAGCGGCGGCGCGAGAGCCCGCCTCCTCCGCGCGCACCGGGACTACGCTCTCCTCCCCCTCCCGCACGGAGAGCAGCCCCGCTCCGCCCCCCCACCCGCCTCACACATCCACACACCTCCCGCGCGTCTGCTCTACGGGAAGCCGAGGAGGTCAGCCCCCCTAAAAATACACACCCTCAAGTCCGGCAAACCCGCCACCCAGGCTGCCGCCCGGACTCAGGCCCAGCGTGCTCTCACCGCAAAGCTGCTTCGGCCGCTCGTCACTGCGTGTCCCTCTCGGCGTGAGCCTCGGGCTCAGCAGGGAGGCCCCGAGAACGGCGCGGGGCACAGGCCCGCCAAAGCGAACTGGCAGCCTTCTCTCCGCTAACGAGGCGGCCACAGACCCCGGTGCCCAGACTGGGAGGGAGGGAGGGAGGGAGGGAGGGAAACTCCGAGGGGGGAAGGGGAGGGGGGAAGATGGAGAAACCGTCTCCGCCGCCTCTACCGCCGCGGCCGCTTCTCTGTTACCCGGGAAATCCCGCCCACTCCTCCGGCCCGCCCCGCAGAGGGAAGAATCAGCTTGGTTCCGCCACAGGACGCATTATCTGCCCGTCAACGGTTTAGCCAATCACTGCGCCCCGCCTGCCGACTTCCCTCCTCTTCCCCCTCGGCTGGGAGGGGAGGGGGAGCCGCTCACCTTCTCCACGCCTCTATTGGCGGGGAGCGACCCTAACTCAACCCCGCCTATTGGAGACGGATTGCTAAATCCCACCCCCAAGCCGCAACATTATTGGAGGAAGCAGGGAAGCCCTTTAAGTCCCATTGGAGGAGAACAAATATCCCTCCCCATACCGCCTCAGCCACAGGCCTAACAAGTCGGCTCCCGCCTCCGCCGGTCATCGCATTGGAAGGCTACCCCTGGCTCTCCCACCGCCCCAGGAAGGTAAGTAACCGATGTGGGGTAAAATGTCCGTAAGTGAAGTAGGCTCCTCCTACCACACACTGCCGGGCCAGGACTCGCCCCCAACAGTCGGATTGGATATCTTGGCGCCGGTAGGCGCCTCCATTGGCCAGGGCGCCCGTCTAGGAAGGAGCTGATTACGCCCTGCGCGAGGAGGCTGAACCTTAGCAGTCCTTTTGTGGAATGTTTACACTGGAGACTGAATCTTAGGGTTCTAGGGCCCGAGACAGGAGGTGGCGCGGAGCTCAGCAGCTGAGACCAGAGACCATGGGACTTGAAGGGATAGTCAGCAGCATTACCACTCTGGAGAATCCTCTTACAAAAAAATGAGAGAGAACTTCGTCCTTCCCATCCAGTTATCTTTACATTTCCGCAAGCTGCCTCTTTGTAAACACAAATATCCGGAGCAGCCGGCAGCTCCTTCCAGCAAGCAGAGCACAGAATTGTGGTCTGGAGACCTTAGCCAAGAAGCAACCCTAGGGGTTGCCACCCCGCTGCTAGGCTGGCTGCACACTCCTAATTCCGACACTCCCTAAACCTGAATATAGTTTTAAGAGGGCGGAGATAACCAAAAGAAAGGCGGGCCCTAACGGCCACCGCCCTGGCAAACCTGCAGAAGGCGGAGCGTGAGGCGTAAGGCATCTCCCGGGTATCTGTAGGCATCCTCAGACTCGAAAAACTGAGAAAGGAGAGCAATAGGCCAAAGCAGACTACGGCATAAATGAACTTTGGGAATATACCCACACTCAGAGAAAGGATAAAAATTCCAGAGTTGGGGACAGAAGATAAGGGCTGTTCACCCCTCCTTGGCCAAAGAGTGTTAATAGCGGTTCCTAGGCCTTCTCTGCCTAGGTAATAGTGCCTCGGACATAGACAAAAGTGCCTGCGATAGCTAGGTTGGTTTTACTTATTCACTAAATAGGGCGTAGGCCTTGCATTGGAGGGCGCTCTAGCGCTCCAGAAGAAGGGGCGGGACTCGAGTCTTCCCGCTCTCTCCAGCAAAAAGACAGGCTCCCGAGACCCCACAACTAGGTCCATCACTGTCGTCCCTCCGCAATCCAGCAGAGACGACCAGAAACGAGCGCTGGCAACAGGTGGGTCTGACTCCAAGGATGGCTTCGAGCTGCAAGGCCATGGCAGCGAACCGTGAACTCCACGAGTACCCGACAAGTGGGAGCAGCCTCGCCGGTAGCGAAGCCTGCCCCGGGCGGAGCTCTAAAACCAAGTCAGACGGACGAAAGCGACCCCCGGGCTAAAAACGCTCGGAAGTTACGAGGAAGCGGCACTCCAACAGAACTGACCGAAGGGCTACCTTTAACTCTGGGCCGCCCTCACCATCTGGACATCAAAAAACCACTCGGAACCCAAGCCAGGATTAGGCCGCCCCTGACTTCTCACCACAGGGGACGAACTGCCCTGGATCTTACCCTAGGCTCCCAGGTCAACCCTAGGTTGTCAGATTTTTAGATAAAGACAACTAAGGACGGCGGCTGCCTTGCCCTAGGAAGACTAAGACACTGCCAGCGTCTGCAGAGTTCTCAAGCTTAAGCTCAGGGAAGTCAAGGGACGCGGAAACAGCCAAGCCATAGGGTCAGAACCTGAGTATTCGGCCCCAGTCCCGAAGGGTAGATCTCAACCCATGATCTCAACCCCTGAGAACCCCCGGAGCTACGCCCCCCAAGTCTACATCACACCGTAATCCCCTAGCTTCACCGCGAAGGCTACCAGATTTCAAGCCTCGGAGGAATCTTTGTGTTCCTTCTCGGCTCTCCGCCCCCCCAGCCCCGCCAAGGGCGCGGAGCCTGGGACTTCCGGGCGGGAGGACAGTTCGAAGGAGTTAGGCGGGCTTTACACATGTGCGGAGCGCGCTCCCGAGTGAAGGGAGGGGGCGGGGAACAAGGGTGGACTTCCCCTTCTAGCTTGCTCCGCCGGGGGCGGGGCTGTCCGTCCCGCCAATCAGAAATAGGGGCGGGACCTTGCACCTCAAGTAAGCCGCAGGAATCTTCCCTCCTCCCTTCACGGAAAAAAAATCCTAGCAACTTAAACTCCAGCCCGGCCTCCCGATAGGCGGAGCTCAGGAGAATGTCACCCAATGCATATGCGAGAAGGGAAAAAGGGAGTCTCGTCCTACCAGTGGAAGACAAGAGAAGGAGGGGCCTCTGGAGGAGCCGGAGGTGGGTGGAGGAGAGGAACCGGCCCCGCCTTTCAGCTCCCCTCCGGGCGGGTTGCACAAGCCACCGGAGGAGTAGATAGTAAACAGTCTGGGCCAAAGAGTGGAGGTACGGCCAGCCAGGCGCTCCGTGAACTGGGCCCCTGCACCTCCTCTCCCGGCGTCGCCCCGCCCGGCCCCGGCGGCTCGCGCCGTCGCCCCGCCTCCCCACCCGCGGCCGCCATCCCGGCTGACAGGCGCGCCCCCCCGCGCCCCTCCCCGCCCGCTGATGCATTTCCTTTTCCCGATTCCTAGCGTGGAGACTATTTTCCCAGTTTCCGACCTTCACTGCCCCTTTCAGGCCATCCCCACCTGGGCGCGTGCACACGCCCGAGCCCCCGCCCCACCTGCAGCCAAGCGGCCCGCAGCGGCACCTCGCGGGAAGGGGGAGCCCGGCAGCCGCACGGCCTGGGGAGGAGAAGGGAGCAGTCGCCGCCACCGTCTTGGGGTGGGCGGGGAAGGAGGCAGCTCCATGTTTGCAAGGGGATCAGCTGGGGCCGCGGGTCTAAGCTACCGAGTTCCTGGAGGTTTTCCGCACCTCCAGTCCGAGCTCCGCGGGGACTCGCGGCCTGACGGGTTCCGGCGCCGAATGCTGGTTCGACCGCCACGGCCCGGGAGTTCGGAGAGCCACGAGAGGCTCACGGGGCTAGTGGCTAGATGCAAGGGGCTTTTTCCGGTGGCCTCTCCCGCCCCCGGCCGCCCTTTCAGCAAATCTGGCGTTGCCCCCTCACCCAGAGTCCTTAACAACCGCGGGCCACAGAGCCCGCACCTTTCCGGAGCATGCCCACCGCCCCCTCCGACAAGTTTTCGGGTAGAAACAAAACCCTCCGGGCGGCTGCCGCCCTCACCCAGCGTGGTTAGCGGGGAAAGCCGCGGGCTCCGACTCGTTTGCTAACTCCAGCTCTCGACCAACTCCAGGTGCCGCGGGCTCAGTGGGCCCCAACCGACCAGGCTCAGACCACCGACCCCTGCCGAGCTCGCGCGCCGCAGCCCGGGCCCGGTGTCAGTCGGTGTACGGAATACCCCTTTTTTCTTCTTTACAATATTTTTTTCTTTTTAAAAAAGGCATAACAGGAGCGGGGAATCTCCTCCTGCCCGCCCCTTCCCCAGTCTGCCGCCGAAACCTACCGAAACGGACTGCTCGGTGAAATAAACTAGGCGGCACGGCCAGCGCATGGGCGACCCCAGGCCGGGCCGACCCCCTCCCCACGGCTCCGGCCCGGCTTGGAAACACACACACAGGCGAGCGGGCGGCGCCAAGAGCTCTCCTTCCTGGCCTGCCCCTCGCCTTGCTCGGCCGCGGGACTCCTAGCCTCCCACCAAGCTCGGTCCCGGGGCCCGCGGCGCCCACACCGCGTCGGGCTGGCCAAAGTGAGCGGCCGGCGAAATGACCCCCCAAACGCCGGAGATTGGGGGGACCAAATTAAAAGCAGCTGTTTAACATACCTTCCGAGCCAGGCGAGGAGTCCTGAATGGGGGGGTACGCCCCCCACGGGCCATTGGCTCCCTGGCGCTCACGTCAGTCACCCTGGGCCCGCCTCCCCTTCGCCCCGCCTCCTCCCTTCGCCCCGCCTTTTCCCCTTCATTGAACGCCCCCTCCAAAATGTATAAATTAAACTAGCCGTGAGTGGGAGGCGCATCCGTGGCAGAGGCCCCTATATCTCCCGCACCGCCGCCTCGAGTTTCTTGAGGCCCTCAGACTGGAGGGAGGCCCTCTGGGACTCAGAGGTCCGCAGGGTGGATGCGGAGGAGGAGCTGGCAGGGCTACCCGGACCTAACACAATCCATTTGGAGCGGGGTCGAGAGAGGCTGGTAGGGACGCCTTAGCGATTGGCTGGAATATCCAGACTCCCCTGGTTGTGTGACCTAACCGTGGGGGTAGGCGCCCAAAAATGAGCGATGCAAGCGGGAAGCCCTGCGTCCCGGGCAACAGGCACTTGTCTGAGGACCTACTGTGGGTGAGGTAGACATTCATCCCGCACCTGCTGCTGGGTGCAGTTAAGACTGGATGAGGGGTTGGCCGATTAACTCGGTTGGAAGGCAGCCTTGCAACACTTCCCTTTCCCCCCACCCCTACCGGCTACCGCCAAGGCAGGGGTGGGGAACCACTGAATGAGATGCTCACTCTACTCTACAAATCCAGTCGAGGAGATGCTACAGAAGGACCAAAAGCAAGGCAGAAATGTATATATAAATAGATAGCCTTAGGAGCTCAGAGAAGGGAGATTCCATCTAGCTGAAGGAAAATGAATATATTAGGAAAGGCTTTCATGGAGGAGGTGGCATTCAAGTTGTAAAGATTTCATTAGGCAGAAATGGAAGGGCAAGTCATTTTCAACAAAGGGTATAAAGGGGTAGATGAA